AGAAAGAATTCGACCGCCTATTTTGGTGTCATCGGCAAACTTGCTTATGTCGCAGACAGAGGGACTGACCACCTCAAAACTTCAAGGGTGATGGACTGATTACATCGTCTTCAGGTATCTTCTGCTTCTATCAACTTTTCTGTACTTGACTGAAGAAGCCTACTGTGTAGGCTAAACGTTTCGAAATAAAGATACCTAACTGTTGTATATGTGTCTTACTTAACAACCTGTCGGTATTTTATACCATTTTAATATTCACACATCAGTTTTACAGGTTGAGAGCGTTTGTCCTGTCACAGCTCATTTCAGAGCATAGAACTGAGGAATACAGCCACCCCATGGGATGCACACACACACACGCAACAGCTGACTAGCACCCAGGTACCTACTTGCTGCTAGGAGAACAGGGGCAACTGGTATGAGGAAACATACCCAACATTTTACCAATGCTGGGAATCAAACCAGAGACGCTTAGTATGTGAGGTGAGTGCGCTGCCAACCAAGCCACGGGGCATGTACCTTTACAGAACATACACTGTTTATTCACAGTGCAGTCACTGAACCTTCAGTCACCATTATAAACTTTTGCTGTCTTAAATGACACCAAACATTCTGTATATACAAAATAATTCCTTGTAAACTAATTAAAACTTTTGCTACCTTAAATAAAATACACCAAACATTTTTAAACTCCTCACCGACGACTATCAATAAAATGTTTAAAGTTGACATGAAAACTCACTACAATACTCCTTGATGGAATGACATGTCTACCTGCATGCTGGGCCTATCTTGTAGAAAGGTTTATGTTCTGAGTCTGCTACATTGGTCAACCATTGGATAAAAATACATGCAATATAATTCAGTCCTAAATTGGCAACATTTCCCCAAACAGTAGGCTTTATCAAGTCATAAACATAACTGGCTGGGAAGGGAGGATGTGTGTATATGTAGTGAACATAGTAATGTGAAGAGTCAGGTAAGATATGCAGAAGCTTACTTCTTGGGTTGGACAAATATGTGGCTTGAAAGAGGTCAGATTCGAGAAGTACATGTGTTCCATGGGCCAGTGTTCTTCTCTACTGTGACCTGTTGCTATGTGAGATAACAATGAAGAAGTTTCTTGTCAAGTGGCTCAGCTTTGTTGTAGAAGCCGTTGTTCTGGTTGAAGTTGTTTCATACGTTGATTAGTGATGATTCCACACACCTGTATTTCGATTTGTCTACTCCGGCAATGAGTCATGTACCAATGTAATTGATCAAGTAGTTGTGGGAATCTCTTTGTGAAACACCACTTGTTCAGTTGGTCCATTTTCCTGGCATAATGTTTAGAAATGTGTGTATGAAAATCTTTAATGTTTCTCCTATGAATAATTGGTTACAGTTACTGGAAGGGATTGTATATATCCCAGCCTTGGTGACGACTTGCTGATGGTGTCCTTTACTAATGATATCCTTATCTGTAGTGGAGGTAGTGATGGACGCTTGGTATCTGGTGTTGGAGAGAATATTTGAGATATTAGCAGTAGAGTTGATGAGAACTATGTATCATCTGTCAGTGGTGTCTCATCTAGGCGAGATAAAGATGTGTGCACAGCTCGTGCAATCTCTGATGAAGTGATGTGGATAGTGAAGTTAAAAATCTTTTCAAGGAAAAACCATTCTTCTCCAAGAAATTTGCTGCTGCAGACAGAGAGCATGTTGGAAGAAGTCTATGATGACGCCGCGCTTAGTTATGGCGTCGTGGTAAGGGTAGAAATAAGAGAAAATCGTAGTGATTGGTAGGTTTGCAAATTTGCAGAAAGCATCCAGAAAAGATAAGTGCCATTGACTTCCTCTTCAAGCGTGAACTGGAAAGATGGTTCGAAGTTGTAGGGTTTCTTTTGGAATGTCGTCAACGTAACGAAGCCACGCGATGGAGAATTGAATAATAGAAGACGTTCCATAATTAGGTTCGCCAGAATAGCACATACCGTAATGTTGATCCCATAGGTAGAATAAGTCTGACTAAATAAAGTATTTTCAAAAGAGAAATAGATAAAAGCATCACACATCCCAAAAATTCAATGGCTTGTGTTGCTGTTACTTTAGTATGGTGGTGGCCTGGTGGCTAAAGCTTCTGCTTCACACACGGAGGGCCCGGGTTCGATTCCCAGCGGGTGGAAACGTTTCGACGCGTTTCCTTACACCTGTTTTCCTGTTCACCTAGCAGCAAATAGGTACCTGGATGTTAGTCTACTGGTGTGGGCCGCATCCTGGGGGACAAGATTCAGGACCTCAATGGAAATAAGTTAGACAGTCCTCGATGACGCACTGACTTGGGTTATCCTGGGCGGCTAACTCTCCGGGGTTAAAAATCCAAAGAAAATCTTATCTATCTTATCTTAGTATATATAGATCTAACATGATGATGTTTCAAATCCAGTTGGAGAGATAGCCAGAATATTATAAATCTGCATGAATGATGAGGGCCAAGAGTTTTGCTAGATATTTAGCTAGAATCTCTGGTAGTTTGTAATGGATGCTGCCTATTCAAGATGAAATGAGTTTCGATGGCAAGCTTGGTCTGTGTGTCTTTGGGTAGAACTAAATTGTATGTAGTAGTTTCTTCCCATGATCCAAGCTCTTCAGAATGTGTAGAGTTTGGCGTGGGAAAGATTATGTTAATGTCCACTTGTATAGCTGTGAGATGCTTGTGTAGGTGTCTGGGTCATTGAGTAAACTAAACATCTTAGATCGGTAGTTGGTAGAGTTAAATATGACGACACCACCACCTTTGTCGGCAGTGGTGATTCTAATGTCAGTGTCTTCTGCTAGAGTTCAAAGGACGGTGATGAAGCAACGAGGTACTAGGACTGAAGACATGTGGAAAGGGCTGCAGTAAGGATGAGCAGCTTGAAACAAGGTGAGAAACTTCTGCAACCCATACTCAGCAATTACAGACCACTAGAATGTATGGTTTGCTTAACACACAAACCAGGAATTCTACTGAGACCCTTCTTATCTGGAATTGGAAGTGCCCTCACAAACTATCAGGGATTCTAGTCAGATATCTAGCAAAACTCTTGGGCACCATTAGTCACGCACATTTAAAACAATTTGGTAACCTCAGTCATATCCAAACATCAACATAAGAATCGAGACACACACTCTCCAGGAATAGATATTACAACTGTGTTTAATAAAGTACCAACACAACAAGCAATCGATATTCTGCGACGGAAAATTGCCTACAATCTCGACCTCCCTGTTCCAGCCAGCGACTTTGTAGATCTTATCAAACTGTGTGTAGCTTTGAAAATACTTCTGGCAGACTTTCTGTCTAACTTTGGGTTCACCATTAAATGCTGTTCAGGTGAATCTATACATGGAACATTTCGAAACTATGATTCTCTCCTCAGTCACCTGGTTTCATTACGCTGATGTCATGATCACTGCAACTCCTAGACGAATCAACATCCCCTATACCTCAACACAAACCAAACCAGGATGAACCTTCTAAATAGTTCACATAAATCATGAACTAAATTTCAAAGTCTGCTACAAACCTTCCAGTGAACATGAACTTCATATCTCCTGCACTATGATACTAAGACTAAATGTAGCATCGTCGTAGGCTTCGTCCTATATGCTTTCTGTTCCTGAATTTTGGGAAGAATGCTCATTCCTAGAGTAAATCTTTTTTAACATCACTATCTTCATCATTTCATCAGAGACAGCAGTCGATACGCACACATCATTAACTCATAGACGAGACGTCACAGAAAGAAGATACATAGTTCTCCCAAACGACTCTGTTGTTAAACATATCTCCAATATTCTCTCCAAAACCAAATTCCTAGTGTCCACCATGGTCTCCACTACAACCACGATACCACCAGTAAGAGACGCCATCAACAAGTCTAAACCATGGCAGGGGTATATACAATCACTTGCAACGACTGCAAATCAATATACGCGGGAGAAACAAGATACCTTCACAGCATTTATGAACACCAGTAACCCAGCAGAATGGACAACCTGAAGAATGCCTGTTTTCCACAAAGAAATTCCAACAACCAGTTAATCACCTACAATGACGCATGACTCATGGTCAAAGGAAGATACACTCAAAAGTAGGATTCTGGAATCATCACTAATCAGCATATGAAATAACTTTAAGAAAAACAACGGCTTCCGTAAGAACGCTAAACTTCTTGGTGGGAAGCTTCTTGATCGTTATTTCACATAGTAATAGGTCACAGTAAATAGAAACGCTCCAGTAGGCTTGTTCTTCTCGAATCCAACCTCTTTCAACCAATCTATTACCCCACGTATTAGCTTCAACATACCTCAACTGACACCCCACATGACTACATTCCCTACATACACACATCCTCTTTTCCTATCTGAATCTGTTTGTGTGTCGATAAAGCCCACTGTGTGGACGATGCATTGCTATTAAAGAATTACATTAAACTGCGTTTGTCTTTGTCCATCGTGTCAGTATTTTATTCGATTTCTTCCCATGGTAGACATGTCATATGTTACTTCGTTGATGGACCAGTGTTGTAGAGAAGGACTACATGTCACAAGTTACCTTGATGATGGACCAGTGTTGTAGAGAAGGACTACAAGTCACAAGTTACCTTGATGATGGACCAGTGTTGTAGAGAAAGACTATATGCCAGTTATTATATAAAAGGTTTAGAACACCGACAAGTTAAGAAGACACAAGTGCAACAATTGGGTATCTTTAAAGTGTATACATATCACCAGCCTTTAGGTTCATCAGTCCAATACAGAGAAATCTGGTAGATGATGAAAAGGAGTTTGAAAAAATCACTGACTCAGCCTGGAGTTGACTCAAGACCGAGGGACTGATTACCTCAAACTACTGCTCATCTTACACTATTCTTCAATGTACTGGACGGATGAAGCCAATGGCTGAGAAATGTCACCACAGTAAAGATAAAGTGTTGCGTGTCTTATTCATCAAAATTCAATTCCATGCGAGTTACCTAGATGGTGGACCAGTATTGTAGAGTAGTACTGCGTGTTCTGATTGCGTCTTAATCTCCATCTTGATAGATCCGCCCGTCCTGGGATAGGCCTCCTGGAAAGCCACATAGGCTCCGGGCTTGATGAAACTGATAGCTACATCAGGGGCGGCATCGAACTCACTTGAACACTCCCATTCGACTCCATACACCTCGGAGGTCTTGGTGTCTTCCTGCGCTTCACGAAGGATCTCTAGGCCATTATAAGTCACCTGCGTGAGAAAGGAGCAAAGCAGTGATGGCTGGTGAGATGTGTGTGTGTGTGTGTGTGTTAGTTACCATTTTGTTCTAAGCACATGTCGATTAGACACTAGGCCTGATGTGTGTGTGTGTGTGTGTGTGTGTGTGTGTGTGTGTGTGTGTGTGTGTGTGTGTGTGTGTGTCTTAGTGTGTGTGACTGTGTATCTGTGTGTGTATGTGTATGAACATAAGAACATAAGAAAGAAGGAGCTCTGCAACAGGCCTACTGACCCATGCGGAGTAGGTCCATGTCCCCCCCGGATTAGCCCAATGACCCACCCCCACGGATTACCTCAATGTCCCTAATCTTGTCCCTAATCTTACTACTGTATACCTGAAAGAATCCTTTAGAGTTAATTGAATCCCTTGCGACCTTAGCCTCATAATCCCTTTTTGCTTTTCTTATTCCTTTCTTTCTCTCTTTAATTGAATATATTTATTTCTTAACTGCCCATCCCCTCTTTTGATACGCCTATATATGCCTCACTTCTGACCAATGAGATGTTTTAATCTATTGTTCATCCATTTGGGATCATTTTTGTTAGATCTAATTTCCCTTCTCGGAACAAAAGTTGTCTGGGCAGCTAGAACTATGCTCTGAAAAACGTCATATTGGCAACCAAAATCACCTACCTGACGCATAGTCAGGACATCCCAATTTAGCCCACCCAGGTAATTTTTCAGTCCCATGAAGTAGGCCAAGCGAAAATCTGAGACAGAGATTTGATTGCAGTTATCTGGGTAATTCCATGATATATTAAAGCTAAGTGATTTGTGATCACTTTCCCCAAGCTCATCATTAACTTCAAGATTATTAATTAGTGAATCTTTGTTGGCAAGAACCAAGTCAAGCAGATTGTTTCCTCTAGTTGGTTCTGTCATGACCTGTTCTAAAAAGCAATCCTGAACCATATCAAGAAAGTCACTAGACTCAAGATTTCCTGTCATATTGTTCCAATCAATTTGTCTAAAGTTAAAATCTCCCATTATCACAACATTTTCATATCTAGATGCCTTATGAATTTCGTCCCATAACAGCTTACTGCCCTCCTTATCAAGGTTTGGGGGGCCTATAAATCACACCCAAAATTAATTTGTCATGTCCTTCGAGAAACTGTAGCCAAACAGATTCTGTGTTCGATGTTTCTAATCTTATATCATGTCTAAGACAATTTAAATTATCTCTGACATACACCGCCATTCCACCACCCTTCCTGTTGACCCTATCAGTGTGGAATAGTTTATAACCCTGTATGTTGCATTCAGAAAGCATTTCTCTATCTTACAAGTTGAACCAGGTCTCTGTTATACCAATAATATCTATATTACCTACACTTGCAAGTAATCTTAGCTCATCTATCTTATTTCTTAGACTCCTACTATTTGTATAGTAAACCTTAAGTGAGCTAGTCACTCGTTGCCCTCTACTATCCCTCTTTGTTTGTTGATCAGTTGATTTGCCATTACTAGCAACTTTATTTTGAATATTGTCTTTTAAACATATCCCTGAGGTATCCCGGTAATAACTGATCTTTTTAACCCTAATGCTGCAGCCTGATTGTTTCCCACAAACACCCGTATGTAGACAGCCTGTACTGTCTGCATAGAGAGCCCATGCTGTCTGCCAGCTTAGTTCATATTTCGCACACTAAGATGCTGCCCTCTGTAGCCAGGCCTCTCGGTGGGACGGCAGCCTGCTCTCACTCACACAGCGGCCTAGCAGGAAGACACAAGGCCTACTCCTAGTTCTTCTCATGGGATGGCCTGCCCGGGCCATGGGCACAACACACAAGCCTGTGTACCCACCATGACTTAACAATAAAGTAAGAAGCCTCCGAAGAAGTTTATCATTTACTCCCCGCTACCAGAACACCAAATAATCCTTTTATAAATGGTGGAAAGCGGTGGTCGCAGCAGTTGTGTTTGCCCAGAGAGAGGAAGGAAGGAATGAAGTCATCTTCACTTCATCATCCCATGCAAGAAGCATCCGTATCTCAACGAGTTATCGTGATGTCGTGTCTGCACGTTTGAGCATCCAGACACAGGTACAAGCAGGATCCAGCCGAAATTTGCCGAATTTCTTCGAGAATTGTAAGTGGCGTCCCAGTGACCCCACGCTACAGCGTCCCACTCTATTTCTCAAGTCACGTGTTCAGCATCACTTGTATGTTGCTGTTGTTGTTCAGCTCAGCACAGCTGTTTCAGCAAGCCAGAGGTGAGTTTTGTGGTGACTTCTGCGTGCAGTGTGAGCTTCTCTACGTGTTTGTGGGTGGGAGAGAAGGGGAGGAAGTGGCCGCTCCTTGCCTCGCCCTGCTGTACTCTCACACCTCACCAGCCTACCATACACCACTCACCACTACTCACTTCCTCTGCTGTGTTTTTCTGCTGTTTTTCGTGTGATTCATTGCCAGAGCTGTGTATCCGAGTGCCCGAGGCCACTCGAAGTTAAGTGTATCAGCATGCCACGTAGATCACGACACCACGTGGATCACGACGCCACGTGGGTGTGGGCGATGTCACGTGGATCTACAAACTATGCGAGTTAAATAGCCAGATGTCCCAGGCCACATGCTGTGGTCTGCCGCCCACATCACCCCTATGACGTCACCCAATGCTGCTGCCCGATTTCATGACATCAGGATGTTTGCCTGATGTCACCTCAAGATGTGTGCTGACATCACAGTGCTTCTGACGTCATCACGCCTGACATCACATGATGTCACCATCGAGTGTTCAGTAATTATTTCAGTATTGTCGAGAAGATTGAGAGAAGATATATGTCGTGTGTTAATTAATTCCTCTCAGTCAGTGTTCTCACATGTTAGTGTACCATATGTACCGCGGGTGTGTTTAAAATTTCCGTGTGTCCAGTGAGGTCTGAGCCAGACCTGACTAGCACCACTGTGCTAAGCCATCCATGTGACCAGCGCGTTTGACAGCTGATTACTCAGCCCCGAGCGACTGAGCCCTCTTGTACAGAAAGCTCTTATGCTCATCGCTCGTGATGTTCTGCAGAATCGTACCTGCTACGATTCGACATTTGTTTCACTTCACCTCCAGACCTTCAGAGTGCAGTTATATGTAGAGAAACAAGTCTGGGGATGCTTAGACTAACCTCTGCTATAGCTCCAACTGCCGAGAGAATGACACTCGTCAAGCCACAGTTAGCCCTGTCGGAAGGCGCTGTGTCAGCCTCATGTCACAAGCTTCAGTGAGCAGCCTGCACAAAGATGATGTCACTTTGACTGCTAGCTCTCTCACTGCAGTGTGGTGATGTTACGACTCCCAGGTGCTTCGCCCAGTCGTCTCTGCCATGACTCACTCCACAACTCGCTCAACGCTCGCTGGCAGTGACAGCCCAGTGACAGTACCAGTCGAGAAGTGTCCTCCTGAGTCGTTTGCCAGAAGTCCTGCCCAGTTGCCGAGTTTTGTCGACGCCTCACTCGAGGGCACCAGCATGTCGTGCCCCAGGTTGAGTGAAACCTGCAGCGACTCCTATGATGTCTGCTTCACCATTCCAGAGGAGACCGTACCCTGTTATGTCACAGCTCAGCTGCAGCGATGTCTCCTGTGTTGCAGTATCTGTCCAGAAGCAGAAAGGCGTGCAGTGATGCCCTTCGGCGCTCACTGCCTATGACCACGATGTTTAGCACACACGTTTTTTTCTTCCCTCCCTGTAGGAAGTTTTTTTTTCCATATCCATATGTATATATATGTTTCTATTTTGTGTTCTGTGCCCTGTTCCTATGAGAGAGAGAGACCAAGTTTCTTTCATCACTAGTATTGTCGCGTCGGGACGACGCAAGGTAGGTGGCCGAGCGTATGTAGACAGCCTGTACTGTCTACATAGATAGCCCATGCTGTCTGCCAGCTTAGTTCATATTTCGAGCACTAAGATGCTGCCCTCTGTAGCAAGGCCTCTCGGTGGGCACGGCAGCCTGCCTGCCCTTACCTCGCTCTCACTCACACAGTGGCCTATCAGGAAGACACAAGGCCTACTCCTAGTTTCTCTCGTGGGATGGCCCTGCCCGGGCCATGGGCACAACACACAAGCCTGTGTACCCACCACGACTTAATAAAGTAAGAAGCCTCCGAAGAAGTTTATCATTTACTCCCCGCTACCAGAACACCAAATAATCCTTTTATACATACCTCTATAATCTATCAGTTAAAATTCCTAGACAAGTCTTCAATTACCCTCTCAATTGAATTGGCTAATGCAACCACTCCATCCCCAGAGAGATGAACTCCATCCCTTGCATACATATCACGTTTGCCAAAGAATAGGTCCCAGATATCAATGAATGGGATTGCAAGTTCCTTGCAGTACCTGTCTAGCCAGCAATTTGTACCAATTGCCATATACATCCATTCATTGCCCACTCCTTTTCTAGGAAAGATGCTACATGTGACTGGGATCCATCCCTTAGACATAACTACTTCTATGGCTGACCTGTACTTATCCAGCAGCTCCTCTCTCCTGCCCTTCCCAATGTCATTACCCTCAGCACTAAGACAGATAATGGGCTTGTTCCCATTACCTGCCATAATATTATCCAACCTGCTGACTATGTCACCAACACCAGCTCCAGAAAGACACACTCTCTGTCTGACCTTTCTGTCTCTGTTACAAAATGCACGGTCCATATATCTAACCTGAGAATCGCCTACTATTAAAATATTCTTTCCTTGATTAGCAGGGGAATCAGTGGTACCTTCAACCTCACTAACCACTTAAGTACACTCGTCTTGTAGAACAGATAATCGATTTCCTACCTTCACATCTTCTCTATTAACTCTCCTCATCTTCTTCCTGAACTGTGAACCACTTGCCACTATCACTGCTGGTGACCATTCCTTCCTTACCAGATAAATCCTTCTCACACTCGCTCCCAAACTCATCTATGCGAAGCTTGAGCCTCCTATTTTCCTCTGCTTAATTAAAGCTATGTACGGATCCTGCCTCCACTAC